CCAGTCGGGTCTCCCCTTAAGGATAAGTTAGAATAGGTGTAGGAGTAGGTGTAGAATAAACTACTATCGACTGTCGAAAAAAATAAAATTATCCTTAGGATTTCCCATGAGGACTTCTACTTGTCAAGAGTAAGTCCGAGCTACTAATCCCTTCCACGCTGCAAAAGTCATCCTGATCTAAAGACACACTATCATTTCACAGGAACAAAATTGGCTGATCATAAAACCTCATTCGATAATTTCTTTAGCTTTTTTTTTTCTGGACGCACTTGTTGGTGCAGGTGCAATAATTGAGGTGGCCAAGCCGCCCTAATATGATATAATAACAATTGAGAGTTCTATATACTACTTTTCTAGTAGTTTTATTGTTAGTAATATTTTAGATGGAAATGTTAGATGGTACTGTGGAAAATGCATTTGCAAGTTTGTCAAAAGAAGCAGCGCTCTTCTTTCTAAGCTCAGAAACCCTCATTGGATGATTTGTTTAGGATTTTTCTCCATACGCTCGTGGGTGCAGCGGTAATAATTGAGATGGCCAAAGCCGCCGCCCTAATATAATAACAAATTAACAATTGAGACTCCACCGTCACCCATCCATTTCTATATATATTTTATTTTCTCCGGCTAGTATTATACATTGTTAATATTTTAGCTGGAAATGTTAGCTCTGCCCACCATTTTCCCAGTATTTTTTAAATATCTTGAACAACCCAAGCGCCCCCAGCATTAGCGTAAAGTAACTACTCGCTGGAATGATAATTTACTAAACCAAACAACATTCAACACATATAAAAAACATTGGTTCATCAGAGATATTGATTTAGATTTCTGAACAATTGACTGAACAAAAAAGTGTCATGCAGTTTCCAGTTAGCTTTATGGGTTTTCTATATATATGGTGTCCTAAGTTTGATTGTCTGTTTTGCAGTGATTTTTGCTAATTAAAATGCTCAAAGGGAAACCCTGTTGGCCCCTAAACAATGCCTTTACTTTTGGAATTCATTTGATTCTTAGCTGAACTGCATCACGGCACTGTCTTTTTATTCTCTCTGTCTCAGCTGGCCAAAACTGGTGATTTGTTGTTTTGAATATAGAGAGTGATGTGATGAATGAATTTAAGGGTTGATTACACTTTGATTACATTTCGAACTTGGGAGTGAGACATGAGTAACACTTTATCCCTTTGAACTTAAGATATACTATACATTTGTTTCCCCAAGATGAATGTATAAAATGTTTAACAACACAAAGATTCGGTCCAAAAATTTAATGAAATCACATTAATGCCCAAAAGTGATAGCCTTTATGTGGGAAAGAGGCTTGGTCAATTAGTTAAAGGTGAAACTACAAGAATTAAAGGTCCTAGGTTTAAAACTCCGGCTACTTAAATGTTTCTTACATCTTACTCTTTCTTCCTAGTATTTTTTTTTTCAATTTTTTTGAAGTTTCTTTTAATTTTTAGAAAAAATTAGTTTTTGCACCTAAAACTAGGGGTGGCAATCGGGTCGGGTTCGGTTGTTGTGTGGGTCGGGTTGAGGTCCAAATATAACAGAAAATCCGCTGATCCGAACCTGACCCGCCAACCCGAAACGGGTCAGGATACCTGATACGAACCCGAAAATTCGGGTTTGCGGGTCGACCCGAAACTTAATTTTAATTTATTAATTTATCATTATAATTTCCAATAAAATCAATTTCTCACAAAATTAATTACATCATCAAGTAATAAAAATTTAAATAAATAATTTCAAACCAAATCTAAAATAAATTAAACACCGTAAAAGTGTTTTATCCCAAACCAAATATAAAATAAATTAAAACAGCATAAAAGTAAAAAATAACATAATATATTATTTGTCCAAATATAATAATTTCAATTTCACACAAGTTAAATAAATTCATTTAGGATTAAGTAATTAATGTCTTTGAAAAAAAAAGAATGATTTAGTTTAGTTAGATAAAATAATTTTTATATTTATTAACTTATTTTTAATTCGTAAACGGGTCACATCGGGTCATATCAGGTCACCATGGGTTGACCCGAAATTGACATGTTTTCTTTTCGGGTTCATCGAGTTCGACCCGTTTCTGACTCAAACCTCCGAAACCTCAACCCAAATCCATTAATTTCGTGTTAGATTCGTGTCGTGTTTTCGAGTCGTGGCAGGAATTGCCACCCCTACCTAAAACAATGATCACGTAGTGGATCACTTCGTGTCTTCAGTGGTCACAAGCCCAGGTTGCAACTCAATTTGGCTGCCTTGATTTTGTAAGCGACATAAAATCAATATTTTAAAAAGGGCAAATTACACTTTATCCTCTTGTGATTTAATATTTTTCTACATAACCCCCTTCTAGTTTCAAAAGTTATACATAACCCCCTTATGGTTTGAATTAAAATGTCAAAGTGATGGAAATAGTCATTCATAATGAAACTTTTGAAAATATCGAAATTACCCTTATAAACACATGACATACTAACTCCATATGATTTTTATGTTTTACCATATAATCCTTTAATGATTTAATACTTTACCATATAACCCCCTTATGGTTTGAATTAAAGTGTCAAAGTAATGAAAATAATCATTCATAATGAAACTTTTGAAAATATCGAATTTATCCTTATAAATACATGATACACTAACTCCGTATAATTTTTATGTTTTACCATATAATCCCTTTATGATTTAATACTTTACCATATAACCCCCTTATAGTTTCAAAATATACACATAACCCCCCTTGGTTAATAAAAAATTTTCAACTTTGCATAAGGGTATTTTGACATTTTAAATGATTCTATTACAACTAATCATTTCCGTTACTTTGACACTTTAATCCAAATCATGAAAGGGTTATGTATAACTTTTAAAATTATAGAGGGGGTTATATAAAAAATACTAAACCACAGGGGGTAAAGTGGAATTTGCCCTTTTAAAAATGATGGACGAAAAAATTTCATCTAATGAAATGTGAGGAACATTTTAAATGATTTTTCCAAAAAAAGTAATAAAGAACAAAAAAACCCAGCATTGATTTAGAAACATTCGAGTAAAACGCCAGTCGATTTTGGTGGAAAATGCATTCAAGTTTGTCAAAAGAAGCACTCTCTTCTTCGACGCTGAGAAGACCACTTCTTGTTGTTTTAGGTGCAATAATTGAGATAGCAAAGCCGCTCTAATATAACAATTGAGAATTTGTCTATCTATTGTTATTGCTAATATTTTAGGTGGAAATGCCAGTTGTACTGTACCTACCTTTGTTTTCAGCATTTTTTTTAAATACCAAGGATTAGACCTTTTGAGCATCCAAGGCCCCAGCATTAGCGTAAACTAAGCAGTCTCTGTAATCATAATTAACTAAAACCAAGCAGGATTCGAGGAAGAAGCAAGTGCCTTCATAATTCATACCAAGTAAGAAAAAATTTTTGTTTATGTAGCAAGATTTCTTTCTTAATCTCCAAGAGAAAACTATTGATTTAGCTTTGTGTATAATGTAATTAAGCAAGTGGCTTCATAATTCATACCAAGTAAGGGGAAAAAACAGAAGAAAAAGAAACTTTGACCAAAACTTCGACCCTATTCTTTTGTTCTCCTCCATCTTCGTCCAATTTTTCTCTACACTCCGAGCAGAAAGAATTGGTGTCTGCTTACTAATTTCAGGTTAGAAAACCACAACAACAACACCAACTATTTATTTAGCTCTGTGAATAATCAATTGACTAAACAAAGATGTCATGCCATCTTCCAGTTAGCCTTATCATTTGCTCTGTGGTGTCCTGAGTTGTGAGTGGTTTTGTATTGCATAGATAAATTATTTTCCAAAGATATCTGCATTCTGTGCACAATATGATGTTTTGATGATGCATTAAGTTCCAATCAAACAAGAATACACTGAACTTGACTGAAGATAATAAGTAGTATTTATAATATTTTAAAATAGGTAAATTAGACATTTCACTCTATTCTTTTGTTCTCCTCCATCTTCGTCCAATTTTTCTCTACACTCCGAGCAGAAAGAATTGGTGTCTGCTTACTAATTTCAGGTTAGAAAACCACAACAACAACACCAACTATTTATTTAGCTCTGTGAATAATCAATTGACTAAACAAAGATGTCATGCCATCTTCCAGTTAGCCTTATCATTTGCTCTGTGGTGTCCTGAGTTGTGAGTGGTTTTGTATTGCATAGATAAATTATTTTCCAAAGATATCTGCATTCTGTGCACAATATGATGTTTTGATGATGCATTAAGTTCCAATCAAACAAGAATACACTGAACTTGACTGAAGATAATAAGTAGTATTTATAATATTTTAAAATAGGTAAATTAGACATTTCACTCTAGTAAATAAGAAAAATCTAAGAGAAATGCGTGCAATAAAAATCATTAAAAATATGTAAAAGCAAGCCAACTTAAAGAGTCGAGTATCTCTACATTCGGCATACTCACCTCGATTGCCGAGTCAAACTTTGTGCGATTTGTTTGCAGCTATACGAAATTATCCTTAGGATTTCCCATGAGGATTTCAACTTGTCAAGAGTAAGTCCGAGCTACTGATCCCTTCCATGCTGCAAAAGTCATCCTGATCTGAAGTTTTTGGCTGGAACGAAATTGGCTGATCATAAAACCTCATTGGATAATTTCTTTAGCTTTGTTTTTTTCTGTACACACTTGTTGGTGCAGGTGCAATAATTGAGATGGCCAAGCCGCCCTAATATTATAACAAAGGAGACTCGAGACACAAACGTGACCCATCCAGTTGTATATACTACTGTTCTAGTAGTTTTATTGTTAGCAATATTTTAGATAGAAATGCCAGTCTATTGTTAATAACTTTTCTACAACAACCTTGACCAAGGCCTCTACCCTTCTGTCCATCTCCATCTTTATAATCTGATAGCAAAAAGCATCCTAGCAAGCTACATACAAGGAAATCACCAATCTGATATTCACAAAACATCCTAGCAATTAAGCTCCATACAAGGAAAGGAAAATGGCTGACGCTGTCATTAGTGCCACTATTCAGGTTACCTTGGAGACGGCAGTATCTCTTGCCACTGATAGGATTGGTATGTTAGTTGGGTTCAAGAAGGATGTGGCCAGCATGACTCGATCTCTTCGCTTTATCAATGCTCTCTTGGCTGATGCTGTGGAAAGGCAACAAAACCAGGACCGGGGAGTGCAAGAAGGGTTGAAGAGTCTGGAGGAAGTGGCTTATGATGCTGGCAATGTGTTGGATGAGCTCAACTATGAATCTCTTCGTCACCAGGTGGAGTCCCGAAACCAGCACAAGCGAAAGGTATGCTGCTTCTTCTCCTTCTCTAATATTAATCTTGCTTTCCGTTGGAGAATGGCTTCTAAGGTCAGAGGCATCAAACTTAAGCTGAATGAGATCAATCAAGAAGCTAGTGATTTGGGACTGGTCGGCATGGCAGTCATGACAGTTGCCCTCCCTGCTGCTGCTGATGCTAGAGACAAAAGAAATCGGCAGACCGACTCTGTTGTTGCTCCAATGATTGGAAGAGCCGATAATGAATCAAAGATAGTGAAGATGCTGTTGAGCCCATCCGAGAAGGTTGTTTCCTGTCTTTCCATAACTGGTATGGGAGGTCTAGGCAAAACAACTTTGGCTAAATTGATATACAACAACAAGCAAATTGATGGGCACTTTGACATAAAGATTTGGGTTTGTGTATCGAAAAAAGTTCCAATAGAAGAGCTTTTCAAACTCATACTAGTGCAATTGACAAAAGAAAAGGTTAAAGTGGATGATAGGAATGTCATCGTTGGAGAAATTCAGAATCAACTAGAGGGAAAAAGATATTTCCTTGTCCTTGATGATGTGTGGGATGATAATCAGGCATTGTGGGATGACTTTTTCACCACCTTGAAGGGGCTCAATCCAACTAATGTAAGCTGGTGTCTGGTCACTACTCGTCTAGGTCCAGTGGCACATAGTGTGTCTAGAGTTTTGAGGATGATGGAAAATGAACGCTATCCATTAGGAAAACTACCTGATGATCATTGTTGGTCTATCGTAAAAGAAAAAGTAGTTGGAGGGGAAGAAGAACCTGATGAACTAAAAGCAATTAAAGAGAGAGTGATCAAAAGATGTGATGGTCTACCATTGGCTGCAAGTGTAATTGGAGGTCTATTATCTTTAAAGAGAAAAGAGGAGTGGCGATCAATTTTGGAGAATAGGCTTTCGAGTTTGAGTGGAGATGGAGATGGTGTGATGCAAATACTTAAGTTTAGTTTTGATAATTTGCCATCTCCATACATTAAGAAATGTTTTGCATATTGGTCTATATTTCCTAAGGATACTGAGATGAGAGGAGATAAGCTAATCGAACTTTGGATGGCAGAAGGTTTCCTCCAAGCAGACATCAACAGCCAAATGATGATGGAGGAAATTGGAATGAATTGTCTAAGAATTTTATTACAGAGTTTGTTGTTTGAAGAAACCAGAAGTTATGAGGAAACACATTATTATAAGTTGCATGATTTGGTGCACGACCTCGCAGAGTCAATGTCAAAGTCTACTAAAGTTATTAATAATGGGGATGCTCAGATAATTGACAATAGTAATCAGATTCGTTACCTTGCAGTAGACTCAGCTGGTGGCAGAGAAGACACAGAAAAACTTTTTGAGAATATATCAACTTCGCTTCATACATTATTCATCGTAAATGGTGACTTATCTGGTGATATGTTAATGAAGTTGAAGAACTTGTATGTTTTGAATTTGTCTCGTGCAAGAAGAACTCAAGAGCTACCAGTCTCAATTGGCAAACTGATACATTTGCGGTATGTTAACCTTTCGTGGGCTGCAATCAGTATTTTGCCGGACTCTCTTTGCAAGCTTTACAATCTGCAGACATTGATGCTAAGTTATTCAGAAGTTAAAGTTCTTCCAAAGGGAATGTGCGATTTGATTAGCTTGAGACATCTCCATTATGATAATAATTATAAAGAATTTCAAATGCCGCTAGAGATGGGGCGACTGACTTGCCTTCAGACGCTAGAGTTCTTTAAAGTGGGTCGAGAGAAGGGTCGACGAATTGGAGAGCTTGGAAACTTAAAGAACCTCAGAGGCAGATTGGAGATACGCAATCTGGAACTGGTAAAGAATAAGGAAGGAGCTGAGGAAGCAAAACTATCTGAGAAGGCAAATCTATTTAGGCTGGTACTTGAGTGGGCCCGTGATCGAGAAGGCGACACCTACAATGACGAAGATGTGTTAGATGGCCTTCGACCCCACCCAAATTTGGAGGAGTTGGTAATTTGCGATTTTATGGGCGATCAATTTCCTCGATGGTTAATGGATTTGCCAACAACAACAACAATCCCCGAGTCAGCAACAACACTCCCCAAGTTAGTCTGTTTGAAGTTTTATTCCTGCGACAGATGCAAAGACCTCCTTCCCCTGCAAAACTTTACATCTCTTAAAAAGCTGGTGATTGATGAGTGCGATGGGTTGACGAATCTGCCCGGTGACATGCTACACTCTTGTGCCTCTCTCCAGGAGCTTCGGGTGATTAATTATGACAATCTTATCTCCTTTCCGCTTGATTTGCAACAAACGCCTTCTCTCTCGGAGCTGGAATTATGCGAGTGTCCCAAACTGAAAACAAGGTTGACGCCCAAAGGATTTGGTTTCCTAACCAGCTTAAGGGAGCTTGAAATTGGTCCCTTCTCAGATGATGGTGATGATCATGAAAATTCTTCAATTTACAATGAGTTTGATTGGTCTGGATTGATATCCTCCTCCTCCTCCTCTTCGTCATCCGCACTCCGTGGATTAGAATTATTTGGGTTGCCTTACATTGAGTCACTGCCACATCAGATCCAACACTTGACCACTCTCACGTCACTATTGCTATATGACTTTGGAGCTGTAGAAGCTCTGCCAGATTGGTTCGGAAACTTCGCTGCTCTTGAAGAACTATATTTATGGAATTTCAAAGAGCTTGGACATCTACCCTCTGAGGATGCCATGAGAAGTCTCACCAAACTAAAACGTCTAAGGGTTCGTGGTTCTCCTCTGTTAAAAGAAAGATGCACTCCTGAGAGCAGCGGCCCCGACTCCCAGTGGTCCAAAGTTTCTCACATTCAAGACCTAGACATACGCATAAGTTGATTAATAACCAACTCATCTTCAGATCAAATTCAATCATGTAAGATTGCCTCTTACCAACTTTCTTAATTTGCTTTACAATCAATCTCCCCTTCTCTTCACCTCCCCTTCTGATGAACCTTCTCGTGAGAAAACCTAAAAAGTCCACGTGGTTATTTTCACAATTTTCTCTTCTCCCTTTTTATCATTCCATTTATTATCTTTCAAAGCTACAGCATTAGCATTTCTTATCAGGTCCAAAATATTGTTGCTCCTCATTTACTCCTTACAACATAATACTCTTGCAACTATCAATTAGAATGACCTCAAGCACCTATCCTGTTTCGTGCTTTCATGTTTTACTGTATCTCTGTTTGTATTCTGTTCTACGCTTTGTTTTTGTAGGATTGATGGAAGAATAGCTTCACGAACAGAGGTTAGAATTTTGAAGCTTCTTTACACCATAACTATTGGCCTGCATTTCCTACAAATGACCTATCAACGTTTAGAACAACTAGCAGTAATTGCTCATTCAATTGCAAACCCAGTATCTTGGATAGAAATGTTTATGATGGCCCTCTTTTCTTTCATATTGCTGCCTCAAATAGCCAAATATCCTTATTGTCGAAGCTTGCACACTGTCAATCTGCCATTTCAGTCACGAGGTCTAGCAATAAGAATTTACCTGCTATGTTACTACAAATTTTCTCTTGTTTTCCTGACTTCTTGTCCTTGAAACTAGTTGTTACCTAATTGCAGAAAGTTTTCAGTCTATGTTTTTGATTGCTCAAGACTGTCAGCTGGCCTGTGCGAGCTGCTCGGAAAAAATTCCTTGCCCCAGCTTATTGGATGTTTTTGAACAGCTATCATCACCAGGACTTTTTGATGAAGATTTGCCTTCATGAAGATTCTTGAGGTAGCAATTGGTTGCTACTCTCTAGGAATTCGCTTCATGAAGATTCTTGAGCTGTCTCTGCTTGTCATGTTTTTTGGTTGCAACAAATTTTTTTAAATTACTCAACCGGTCATTTTTTGGAGTTTTGGGCACAAACTGGAACAATTTTCATGACAATACTTGGTTCTTGTAGACTGACCAGAAGGATTTTGTATCTGCTTACTAATTTAGGTTTGATATCAATGACAAAATCTCTCTCTCTCTCTCTCTCTCTCTCTAACTTTCTGTAAGATTTGTTGAACAGAAATGTCCTGCAATTACCCGAATTTTCTAGTTAGCTTTATGATTTTCTATACACTGTCTTGAGTTTTGAGTATTCTATTTTGCAGTGGTGTTATGCTGAGAGCTCACGGGAGACCTCAATGGCTTAATTACTGCCATACGTATCAATATCCCATTATTCCTTCTTCAACCACATCATTTTCAAATTGGAGACAAACATATAGAATGACACTCTCTTTCGCTTCTAAGTGACTGAGATGGCCAAAGCCTGAGATCTACGGTGTGAATGTGATGCCTTCAACCTGTTGGCCATGACATGAGGTAGTAATTCATCAATTATGGACCTCATTTGCTATTCTGTCTCATACTGCTTGCCTCGCAAATTAGCTGCAATTTAGTTGTAGAAAATTGTCAGTCTGTCTTTATGACTGCTTATTGTCTGTTAGTTGGCCTCTGCAAGCTACTCACCACCCTTCTGGAAGTTGTATCTTAGCTCCATTAGATACAACATGATTTTATGAGCTTGCCTGTTCTCTTTTTGCAGTTAAAAATCGTATGTCTAGAATGATGCTCTTACTTTAAGATTCATAGTTATTCCAAAATTACTGGGTCTATATGATGTTGAGTAAATCTTATGTTGGTAGTCGCTTGACCAAAAATGAAGAATTGCATGAAGTTGTTCTTTTCAATTTTGTCTGGCGTCTTTCTTAGGTTTCTGTATTTTGATTGAAAGTTATAGGTACTCCATAGACATTACCATAAATAGGTGATGGTTACATGTCTTCATGTTGACCTTGGTCGATCAATCCTTGGTTTTGATAATTAACAAACCAAAATGTAGATTTGGGCTAATGTTTTTATGTGAGCAATTTGTTAGAAGAAGCAAAAACAGGGCACTCATGTGGGACGTCCGAAAGGAAGCTATCGGACGTCCGAAAGGATGAAGAACATCAAGAAGGAAACTTTGTCGGACGCTCGTGAGGAAGCATCGGACGTCCGGAAGCATCGGACGCACGCCTCGGACGCACATCGATCGCATCGGACGTCCGAGAAATTTCGCAAAGATTTGATGACTCTCTGTCAACGTTCGGACGCAGACGTCCGACAGGTGGTTCGGACGTCCGACAGGCCAACAGCTAGTTTTGACAGCATTTAATATTTGACCGTTAGAGAGCCTTTTGAAGCCATTTCTCACCTTCTATAAATACCCCAAAGCACAAGAAGACAAGGGACTTTTGCCAACACAAAATACAAGCTTACAAGTGAGATTTTTGAGTAGAAAGATTCTTTGTTGGTTGTATAAGGGGTTGGGAAAGTTGGGTTGTGAGGTTGCTCAAATGAAGGTTACTCTCTAGGTGGAGTAAAACCTTGGTGAAGGTGAACCTATCACTTGAAGTGGTAAAACCTTGGTGAAGGTTGCCTCATTTGTATAAAATAGTTCTTAATTGGGTGAGTGATCTTTCAAGTGTAGGTTGTTAAGGGTTAACTATAATAGTTGTAAAACTCCTTGGCTCAACCAAAGTGTGTTTGGGGTGAGGAAGGAGTGAGCCTTCACTTGTACATCTTGGTTAGCATCGCCATCTATTGAAGAGGCTATTGGATTGATATTTGGTTTGCATTTCTTATCTTTTCTCTTTAATTAAGTTTTCTTTATTGTGCTTAAATTTGATATATTTTTGTGCATCATTGTGAAATTGTTTGTACTCATTGGGTTGCACCAGGACTTACAATTGGTATCAGAGCTTGGTCTCTTTTGATCAAGCTTAACCGCTTAGAGTAAAGATCATGGCAACCATAAAAGTTTCTTTTTTAGAAGGGCAATCTATTGATAGACCACCTATGTTTAATGGTTCTTATTTTAGCATGTGGAAACAAAGAATGATGATTTTCTTACAATCCGTTTATATTGAATTATGGTATGTGGTAGAAGATGGTCCTTATGAAGCCAGAATAATTGACTCTATCACTAATTTGAGTAGATTAAAGACTAGACAAGAATTGAATGAAAAAGACAAGAGATACCTTTCTTTGAATGCCAAGGCCATGTGTATATTGTACAATGCATTAGATGTAAATGAATCTAGTAGGATTAAAGGTTGTAAATCAGCTAAAGATATTTGGGATATATTGTGTGTATTTCATGAAGGTAACCAAGATATTAAAGAACAAAAGAAATCTTTGCTTGTTTCTCAATATGAATTTTTCAAAATGCATCCTCTTGAAAATGTTGATAAGATGTGTAGTAGATTTTGTGACATTATTCAAGATCTTAAATTGCTTGGAAAAGAATATTCTTTGGGTGAGAAAAATAGAAAGATTTTGAATGCCTTGCCAAAAGAATGGGAAAACAAAATAAATGCTATAGAAGAGGCAAAGGATTTAAATTCTATGTCCATTGAATCTCTTGTGGATACCCTAACCTCTTATGAATTAAAGCTGAAATTCAAAGTGCAAGAGGAAGAAAATGCAAGAATGTATAAGAGAGGCATAGCTTTTAAAGCATCTCAAGTGGGGGATAACCCATCCTTCATGGGTAATGAAATCATGGAAGTGGACAATGATATAACTCCTCACATCAAAAATTTCAAGAAGATCTTCAACAAGAGATGTTCAAGAGGAGATTGTAAAATTACATGGGATGAATGCAATTCAAAAAGAGAAAAAGAAGAGTTGGCCCAAATGGCACTAATGGCCGTTGGAGAAGATGAGGTAAATTCTTATCACTCTTCTTGTGATGAAGATAATGAAGATGATGATGTGAAAATTCTTATGATTAAAATGCATAAAAGTTTGAGAAAATCTTATGCTAAAAATAAAGATTTGAAAACAAAAATAAATGATTTGTTGGAAGAAAACTCCAAACTCTTTCAAGAAAACAAATGTTTGAGAATGGAAAATGATGATTTAAAAAATCAAAAAAATGTTTTGAAAAGGAAGTTGGAAGAGAAAACAAAGTTTTATGAAAAAATGTTGGAGGAACAGAATTTGTTAAAGAAAAGAATTAATGACTTGAACGAGTTTCTCCAAAATGAAAAACAAAAGTTTTCTCAAACAAAAGAAAGCAAATCTTTTCAAGGCACAAATAAGTTTGCTATGATAAGAAGTAAGAAAATTAGTTGCATTAAATCCACCTATGTGCAAAATACTTCAATCATGTGTCACTTTTGTTACAAATTTGGACATATGCAAAATGATTGCTATGTAAAGAAAAATATGAGAAAAGGTATGAAATCCATGTGGATTGCTAGATCATATTGTATTAACTCCCAAGGACCCTATAAAGAAAGGGTACCAAATGAAATTTCTCATATTTAGGTACATCATGAAGATTTGATCCAAGAAGTGCTATATGGTTGTAAGTACAATTGAAAATTTTGATATTCAATATGGTCTTGATTTGAAAAATAAAGGGGGAGTTTGTTTTTGATTGATGCCAAAAGGGGGAGTAGGATTTATTGAAATTTCTTTGTATGTTGGCACTTTCTAAGGGGGAGCTTTATTTGAACTTATTTGATAAAAGAAATCTTCATTTTGTTTGTCATCATCAAAAAGGGGGAGATTGTTGACCTTGGTCGATCAATCCTTGGTTTTGATGATTAACAAACCAAACTGTAGATTTGGGCTAATGTTTTTATGTGAGCAATTTGTTAGAAGAAGCAAAAACAGGGCACTCATGTGGGACGTCCGAAAGGAAGCTATCGGACGTCCGAAAGGATGAAGAACATCAAGAAGGAAACTCTGTCGGACGCTCGTGAGGAAGCATCGGACGTCCGGAAGCATCGGACGCACGCCTCGGACGCACATCGATCGCATCGGACGTCCGAGAAATTTCGCAAAGATTTGATGA